ATCATTATGCAATACTTACTGAATACACTGTTGCTGATGTCAAGTGTGAACCCCATCCTAAGCTCAGAATTAACATCCCAGATAATCTTAAACTGCACTTCAAGGCCTACATCCACAGATGGTATGCTGGATATACACCTGGGTCAGTGGATGAATTTTGCTGTGATCTTGTAAATGTCATTACCACATATTATACCCCCTGGGTTAAGTCAAGGAGGAAGGGGGGCAGCACTAAACCACCTCTGTGGACACATGACCCCATCCTCACCAAAGAAGGAGAGAATGTAAAACAGCTTGCCAACACTTATAAGCAAAATAAAACTAGTGATAACCTCTTGGCATTCCTCAAAGCTAACAGAGAATTTCGTGAACTCAAAGTTCAGGTGAGAAACACCTATTGGGAACAATTCTTACAGGGTATTAATAGAACAACCACTCTAGCAGAAGTGTGGAACAAAATTAGAGCCATTACCAAGTCACCCACCCCAGTCCAGCTTCATCACAGCCCTGCAGAATATGCTGACATCCTATTAGACCAATGGTCTGGTGTGTCACAAATCACTTCCCTGCCTCCTGACATACAGCAATATCTTAACACCACACACATTAATAGGGGTTTCAATATTGAAATACCCTGTTCCTCACCAGACGTTACCGACCAGTTTCCTATAACACACCACGAACTAGCAACAGCACTAATGAAAGGTGAGTCATCATCCCCTGGTGAGGATGACATAACCTATAACACCCTGAGATTGTCGAATGAGATCCCTAACCATCCACTGCTTGACCTGTATCAAATGAGCCTCACACAGGGTATTCTGTCTAAGACATGGACTCATGGAAACATAGTACCAATCCCTAAAGCTAATTCTCCAAACTTCAGGCCAATTTCACTCACATCCTGTATGTGTAAAGTCCTTGAAAGAGTTGTTCTAAACCGTCTCATGTTTCAAGTCAAAGACAAACTAGCCCCTAATCTGTACGGGTTCATGCCCGGGCGTAGCACACAGACATGCTTTGCAGAATATCTTGTTTACTCAAAAGATAAGACACAAACAGCTTTCATAGACCAAAAATCAGCCTTTGATATAGCTAATAGAGACATTATACTTGAGCAACTAGCTAATTTTGGCATCCAAGGTAACATCCTCACACGGATAAAGGGTTATCTGTCCAACAGGTATGCCGGTGTTCTGTTTAGGGAAGTTAAAAGTGCCAGAATGAGATCATTTGAGCTTGGCACACCTCAGGGAGGAGTGTTAAGTCCTATGCTCTTTAATATACTGATGCACAAGCTTATTGCTGACATTCCAGTTCAGCCAAACGAAGCCGTAATATGCTATGCTGATGATATCTGCATTATGACACAAACCAAACTCAGGCCCCAAGCCTTGCTGGATGTATTTGCAAGGAGAACTGTTGAATGTGGTCTCATAATATCTGTTGACAAGACGAGGATCCTCAATCCTCGTCCTGCTCACCCTCTGCCTCTTGACTTTAACATTAACAGCATGCCCTTGGAACTATGTAGCTCCTATAAATATCTTGGAATTTGTGTGAATGATGCAAACTTTGTCGGCAACCTTTGTGACACTAATGCAGCGCATTAAACCCCTCAGAACCCTTGTTGGCAAGGGCTATGGAATTAACATCATCTATGCTCGTACTTTCTATCTTCACTTCATTCGTTCTGTAGTTGACTATCATGCTCTCCATCTTGTGACTATTCCGCCTAAACAACTCAACAGCCTTGAGGTAGTGCAAAATGAAGCCATGCGCATCATTCTAGGTTGCCCAAAATCAACCAGAATTGTAAACATGAGGAAAGAGCTCGGACTGCCCTTCCTGAGAGGATAGCTCTACTTAATACCATGTTTTGTGTCAAAGATTTGAAGAACAATGGTTCCCAAACTACAGCTCAAACTAAGTTGATGTTCTATCTAAGTAATCCCGACCATCTCGCTAACCTTCCACAAAAGACTCTCTTTGGGGCATGGCTTCATAAAAGTGTTGCAGATCTCTTGAAACTGAATGTCCCAATCACCCCAGACGATCCTATTAATGCCACTCCTCCTTGGCTGGATATATCAGTTCCTATTAATTACACTCCTGTTGGTAGTAAGCAAATGTTAAACACCGATGTGGTGAGATGTGTCACACTAGAAACTATTAACAGTCACATAGAGAGTATTAAATCAAGACAAACACTGGTAGAACAGGCTGTGCAATTATAATATATAAAGAGAAAGAGATGATAGTGTCAAACAAGCAAAGGCTGAACAACTGGGCCAGCACAACACAAACTGAACTAACTGGAATCTACTTAGCCACAGGCTACCTCAAAGAAAATGGAGGTGGAGTGATATTCTGTGACTCTCAAAGTGCTTTGAAATCAATGAACAGCCCGTCAGGCTCTATGTCTAAAGTTGTATGTGATACTAAAAGGAATGTGATAACTGCCAATGAGAACAACTTTCGTATCGAATTTGTGTGGATTCCGTCCCATGTTGGAATCAGGTATCGTGACCGTGCTAATAGACTGGCCAATGAGGCATGTAAGAAAGAAAATGTTGACCGTGACCTTGGCCAGTCCAATGCTGTAACTAAAAACATTCAAGTCATAATCATGAACTCTGATCTAGAAGAAGTGAGAAATGCAGAGAGACCTGACAGTTGTAGCATTAGCAAATATGACAAATTTTGTGACAAGAGGTACCGGTATGGCCAGCATAAGGACAGAACCAGACAATGTGATGTAGTCGTGGCCAGAATTAGGCTAGGATACAGACACATCTGGCAAGTTAGTAACGCTGTGCCCATACCGGAACACTCAGCATGTAAACTTTGTGATAAACCTCTAAAGCATACACTTGAACACTATATTATTGAATGTGACACTGTCAAAGACTTCAGGCCACCTGACTTATTGTATCTTGAACTATGTAATTACTACATTGAATCAGGGGTGCTTGAGGACATTCTTGCTGTTTATCCCAAATTTGCTAGCCCACACTGATTAGTCTTCAATTAGAATATGACTCCAATGTATGTGAACCACTGACCTATATATACTGCTAATGAATATGATGTATTTCTTCTTTGTGTACGAACCTCTGTCCTGCAGTGGCAGTGATACAGTGGCATTACCCACATGAATCTGACCTATATATAGTGTCAATGAATATGATGCATTCTTTGTGTACGAACCTCTGTCCTGTATGGCAGTGAAGAGTGACATTACCCACATGACTCTGACCGACGTATATGTATTGTATGTATGTGTGTATATGTGTATGTATGTGTGTATGTTTGTATGTGTATATATCTTGATAAAATCACACGGGAAAATGGAAACAACGGAGCACCTTAGCCTCTGAAGATGTCTTGAATAAAGACGAAAGCTAAGGTGCTCCGTTGTTTCCATTTTCCCGTGTGATTTTATCAAGATTTATCTTATCCACGTTTTCATTGTGGATTTACATGAAATGTATATATATATATATATATATATATATATATATATATATATATATATATATATATATATATATATATATATATATATATATATATATATATATATATGCAAATAAATCACTGTAGGTGCGCGTGATCCAGGTATATGCTGATAACCACAAGGAAAAAGAAACACGAAGTTCCCAAGCGCTTTCGTGTAATTCACATCTTCAGGTGAGTACAACTAAGTAGAAGTCAGAACAAGTATATATATATATATATATATATATATATATATATATATATATATATATATATATATATATATATATATATATATATATATATATATATATATATATATATATATATATATATATATATACAGAGGAGGGTGAGATCAAGTCCACAGAGGTCAAGTATAGGTAATGACCCTACTAATCTTCACAAAAGCACCGCAGCGGTAGGTAGTCAGGTCAGAGGGAGAAACTGACCCAACCTTCTCACCTGGTTACAAATCTTCTTAATTACAAAATTGTCCAATTTGTACTTACCATTACTCAAATTCATGTTAACGGATTAGGTATGTTTAATGAGACTAGATTCTATATTGTTCCTACTGTCAATTGAATTACAAGGTAATATTGAGGAGGCATTATCCCAGTCAATGCAATGTTTATTATCCCTCAGATGAACAAACAAAGCATTGGATTCCTGGCCTGTCCTAACACTATATTTAAACAACATAAATATAGGACCATTGTGGACCTGAACTCACCCTCCTCTGTATATATACAAGGTGTCCCATAGGTTTCCATACAACGTATCACCAACGCCATTACAAGCATAACTCCAGCTGTGCTTGAACGTGTTCTTCAGCAGTGGAGGACACGCATTGAAGAGTGTTTTCAACAGAATGGTAGTCATGTAGAGCATATTATATAAATAAAAATGGATTTTCATATAAAATAAATTTTTCCTATATATGGAAATTTATGGGACACCCTGTATACCTTGTTTTGTACTTCTCCTTAGTCTGTACTCACCCCTAAAGATGTGAATTACACGAAAGCGCTTGGGAACTTCGTGTATGTATGTATATGTACTGTCAATGAATATGATGCATCTCTTTGTGTACGAACCTGTGTCCTGTATGGCAGTGAACAGTGACATTACCCAATGAATCTGACCTCTATACATATATAGCTGTAAATGAATATGATGTCTTTCTTTGTGTATGAACCTCTGTCCTGCGTGGCAGTGAGAAGTGATACCACCCTCAGTGTCAAGACCTGACGGAATTACTCAGAATAGGCAAACTGTACTACAGGCTTTGCCAATAAATTTGTTAAACTATTAAAAAACCACAACCGCATCCAGCCCATACGAGCACGTACTGATCGCTATAAGAACAGCCCAGTCCCAACCATTGTAAATTTTATCAATATCTTGTAATCAACCAGTGTATATTTTCAGCCTTCCGACTGCCATGCTCTTTCAATATCACACACACACACACACAGAAAACACGGAAGACTCACCAATAGAAAGAGCGATGAGGGGTTTCTCAGGGTGAGGAACGATCTGTAGGTTCTCAACGATGTTCCTGATGGGGTTAAAGGTCTTCTGAGCGAAAACAGAGGCGGGGACGTCCCAGGACTTCCTACCACGCATTGTCACAAAGGTTCCTCACAGGTACTGTCCCACACACACACACGACACACCTGCTTCTATATCTTGTTATTATTCTTACTATTTTCTTTTAAAGGTCTTTTTTATTCTTTTTTCACCCCTGTTTATTTTCACTTTGTTCGAGTCTTTCCTTAAAATGTTTCTACTGTGGAAAAAATTATTCAGTCGATTATAGGGAATTTTTAGTTATGAAACACAATATGTAAATTGACCAAAAAAGGGTTTTAAATTTCACTGCATCACTTCATGTAATCACAGAAAAAATATTAAGACGAATTTCTAACAAAACCCTAAATGAAAAGAGTCCTATATTTGTTTTTGTGCATCAATTTAGTACATACAAAAATCTTCACCATGTATGGCGTGAAAGACTGAATTCACGTTCAACTACAAGACTCTAACACAGATATTTAAAATTTTGCAAAGTTAATCCGATGTCCAGGAAGAGATGAATGACTATTGGCCAACAAACTGAGTATGCAACCATACTAAGAGAGAGAGAGAGAGAGAGAGAGAGAGAGAGAGAGAGAGAGAGAGAGAGAGAGAGACAAGCCAAGACCAGGTGACACGGGAGAGACCTGTGTGAGTGTGACGTGCGTAGGAGAGGCGAGAGGCTGCACGTCCGTGGCGCGCGTTGGTCGGCCAGTGTCTGTGTGTTGGGTGGTGTGGTGCCGTGGGTTCCTCACTGACACTACCTGGCCTCGCCACCTCCATACTTCTTCCAGGCCTCCCTCCTCCTCCTCCCCTCCCGCCCCCCTTACTCTTCCTCCTCTACTACCTATTTCTCCTACTCACCTCCTCCTTTCTTTCTCCCCTACTTCTTATTTGTTGTTTTGCTTATTTTTCAACATTTCGACCTTCTATCCTCTACTCTCTCGTGCCCTTCCACTCCCCCTTCTCCTTTGCCCTCCCCCACCTCTCCCTCCGTCACGCCACCAGTTTCCACCAATGGTCGCTCAGTCAACCCCCACCTCCCCCCATCCCCCCGACGACGACTTAACAACGCAACAATATTATATTTGCAAAATACTCGAATCTTCTGCGCCTACCAACACCATTATCTCTCTATATAGACAAATTACGCGTGTTGTTTCATCATCCTGTAAGAGTTGGACCATTTTGCAACACCTGTCGTACTTAGTTCAGCCATGACTTAATAAGCTGTTAACTCTCAAAATAATAATTTACTTAATGATAATATTTACTTATCATGGTTGAGGTCTAGAATCAACATAATGGTTTGTGGTATATGTCGTGGTTACATATGGCAAGCCAGCTCATGACGTCATTCCCTGCTGGGCCTGCCAACAATCTTATATCTGTCCCACAAGTCAGACGATGACATAAATATTCCTCCCGCCAACTCAGTCATATTGACCTAGAAATATCTACGTCCGTTTCTTGATTCTGATAACTTACATCTTCTTGGGTTAGATGGAGAGGACATAAAGGAGACATTTCAGCACTCAACTACGTAAACTACCTACGTGGTGTGTTCCCTGGAAGGGTAAATACCTTGGAATATAGTACTTACAAACTTAAGTATTACCCCCAGGGGCATCGTAAGGTGTGTCCCCTTTGTGATTGGCCAGCCGAGAGGGTTGGGTAGCTGAAGTGATGGTTGATTGGTCCGCTAGTCTGACACACCTCCGCCGAGTACGAACAAACGTGTGTTTTTGTAAGGTGTGTTTCTTTATGTTAGTCCACCAGTAATGAGTGAATAAATATAATTTTTCCTTGAAACGACCAGAAAAACACAAAATATATCAACTGGTAACAAACTCCAGCCATTAAATCATCCTTTCACGTCTTTTTTTACCTCCTAATATTTTACTGAGCCTGGAGGCTTGAGCGAATTTTAGCGAACCTTTCTGGTGACTCCAGTCAGTAAGGTTGGCCTAGCCGGTGCGCAGGTAGTGAAGGTGGACAAGCTCTCCTTTCCTCACAGACTCACCAAGCAACTATGACGTATTTAACGTTAACCCAGCTTAAATATGTAAAAATAAAGAGTGAATTACACATAATATATATTACAGGTAGATCCACAATGGAAACGTGGACAGGATAAATCTCGATAAAAGCACACAGGAGAAGGGAAATAATGGAGCACCTATAATATATATTACGTGTAATTCACACACACACACACACACACACATAAGAACATAAGAATGGAGGAAGTATGGGCCTATTGGCCCATACTGGGCAGTCCCGATTACACCCAACCCCTATTGCTCATATAAGCATCCAACCTATGTTTGAAGCTATTCAGCGTATTCGAGTTAATGATGATATTTGGTAACTTGTTCCATTCATCCACTACTCTGTTTCCAAACTAGTATTCACCTATTTCACGCCTAAATCTAAATTTGTCAAATTTAAAACCATTGTTACGAGTTCGCTCCTGGTTGGATAGTTTGAGTACCTTTGTAATGTCCCCTTTGTTTAGCCCTGCCTTCCACTTAAACACCTCTATCAGGTCGCCCCTGGCTCTACGTCTCTCGAGGGAGTGCAAATTAAGATGCTTTAACCTGTCTATACTCAAGGTTCCTAATGCCCGGGATTAGTCTTGTCATTCTCCTCTGAATTCTTTCCAAGGATTCTATATCCATTCTGTAATACGGTGACCAGAACTGAACTGCGTAATCCAGGTCTGGTCTCACAACAGCAAGATACAGTTTTAGGATGACCTCGCTAGTCTTGTAACTAAAACTCCTTTGTATGAACCCAAGTACTTTGTTAGCCTTGTTATGAGCAAAAACACATTGTTTACTTGGCTTAAGGTTCCTACTTATCATTACTCCTAAATCTCTCTTGCAGCCGGATTTCTCTATGGCAGTGGTTCTCAACCTTGTTTGCCCCATACACCCCTTTCACCATATGTCAGAATGTCATTCCCCCCTCCTTTCCAAGATTGTCTGCCTCAAAAAGTGCATTCCAAATAAAATGCATATAATACTGAAAATCCTTTATTTTTTCCATATTAGTATCAGTTCCCCCCCACCCCCCCTGAAAACCTGAGGGGGGAAATTCCCCCCTGGTTGAGAACCCCTGCTCTATGGCATCGTTGTTCATCTGGTATCTGGTTTCCCTGTTTACATCTCCTATACTGAGTACTTTACATTTGTCCACGTTGAATTTCATCTGCCATTTTTCAGACCATTCGAAAAATTTGTTTACATCTTCCTGTAGTTTTGCGGAGTCCTCGTCAGATTTAATAACACTGCACGTCCTAATTTAGAGTCATAAGCAAATTTGCTTATGTTGCTGTCTATGCCTATATCTATGTCGTTTATGTATATAATAAATAATAATGGCCCAAGTACTGAGCCTTGGGGAACACCACTTGTGACGTTGCTCCAATGGAACTTAGTGCCATTAATGCTCACTCGCTGTTTCCTGTCCTGTAACCACGCCGTAATCCATTTAAGGATATTACCTTTGATGCCATGTGCATCTACCTTTCTAATTAGTCTTTCGTGGGGGACTCTGTCGAAGGCTTTGCTAAAGTCGAGATATACCACATCATAATTGTGCCCCTCGTCCACCGATTCGAAAACTGATGAAAAGAATGTTAATAGATCAGTTAGACATGAACGTCCGCTTGTGAAGCCATGTTGGGTATCATTGATCAATCGGTGCTCCTCCAGGTGATTTTGAATAGAGTTTGAAATGATTGCTTCCAGTAATTTGCCTACTATTGATGTTAGACTGATTGGGCGGCAGTTAGAGGATAGTGATCTATCCCCCCTTCTTGAAAATCGGTATTACATTCGCTATCCTCCAGGATTCTGGTACTACACCTGTTTTTAAGGGCATGTTAAACAACTTTGCTAAGGGCATACTAAGCTCTTCCTTACATTCCTTTAATACTCTGGCAAATATCTCATCGGGACCAGGTGACTTATTAGGCTTTAGTTTATCTATTTGCTTACTAACATCGTTACTAGTCACTACTATCTTGCTTAATTTGTTTTCTTCACTATCTCTGAATAGAGTCGGTGCCCCGGGTATCATGTTTAAATTTTCGGTGGTGAAAACTGTTGAAAAATATTTATTCAAATTATTACTCATTTCTCTGTCGTTATCAGTGAGCTCGCCGGTATCTGACCGTATTGGTCCAATCTTTTCTCGTGTTTTAGTTTGATACATTTGGTGGAATCCTTTGGGGTTTGTCTTCGCCTCCCTTGCTATCCTTACCTCATTATTCCTCTTGGCTTTCCTTATCTCGGTTTTAACTCTACTCGCCAATACCCTATAATAATCCCGGAGGTAAATTTCGCCACGATTTATCCTTCTACCTATAGCCTTCCTTTGGCCAATCATTTTCTTTAAATAATTATTTATCCACTTTGGGTCATTGTTGTCTGATCTGAGTTTTTTGTATGGTATGTTCTGCCTTTGTGCATTAAGTAACCCATTATTTAAATTGTCGTGGAACTCGGCAATCTCAGATCTCGTTATCAGGTCGGTGTCATCTGTCAAATTCACGGCCAAGCGCGACACCCCCTCTCTCAGCTGTCTCTTTAAACTGTCAAAGTTTGCCCTTCTGAAATCTGGTACTTCAGTGGAATTTTCCTTACGTCTGCCCTGAAAATCTAACTGGAATCTAATTTCTTTGTGATCGCTGTTTGCAAGTTTGTTCCCTACCTCGACATTGCTAATGAGGTTTTCTCTGTTTGACAGAACTAAATCGAGTATATTATTACCCCGGGTGGGTTCGGTTATATGTTGACTTAGAAAACAGTCCTGGATCGTCTCGAGAAAATCCTCTGATTCTGAGTTACCTGTAAGGTCAGTCCAATCTATTTGGCCAAGGTTGAAGTCGCCTACTATACAGACTTTGTTGTGTATGGAAGCCCTGCGCATTTCATCCCAGATAAGTCGCTCATTGACTCTATCAAGATTGGGAGGTCTATATATTACTCCTGTGATTAATTTTTCCCTACCATCGATTAATTCTATCCAAATTGTTTCTGTATTCCGCTCGGTTTTTATTTCCTTATTTATTTCACACTTCAGATTATCCATAACATAGATTGCTACTCTGCCTCCTTTCCTGGTCTGCCTATCGGTATGGAACAGTATGTAATCCGTAATTTGGTATTCGACCGGTAACTCACGTGAATCTAGGTTGATCCATGTTTCAGTGAATGCTATTATATCGATTTTTTCGGTACATACCAAGGCCCTAATATCATCCATTTTGTTTCTCATACTTCTACTGTTCGCGTAGTATACATTTAAGTTAGTCGTGTTCTGAGTCCTCCCCTTACCGCATTTAGTTTTAAACTCCCTGTCTAATTTAGTTTTGTCATCATTCCTAACACTATTTCCCTGTAATCTTTCACTTTGTTTACCCACTCCCACTGCATTCTCCTCCACCCCCATGCTCATATGCTGTCCTAGCAGTTTAAAGACTTCGATATCTTTTGAACTGCCCCCTCTAGAGCCCCAGCCAGGGTTGCTACTCCATCCCTAGACAGGTGCACCCAATCCCTAGCATAAAGGTCCCTTCTGCTGTAGAAGTTGTCCCAGTTGTCAATGAATGGGACTGATATTGACTTGCAATATCTGTCAAGACGGTCGTTGACACCAACTGCCCTTGAACCATTCACTGCCAACTCTCCTTCTAGGCAGGACACCGCATATGATAGGGATCCCTCCCTTAGTCCTAATACGATCTATGGCTGCCTTGAACT